GGCTGGCTGGTAGCCCGTCGAGGTGGTGGGCACGGGCTTGGTGAACTTGGGGGAGATGTCCTCCGGGGAGATCTCGGTGGTCTCCACCGTGACGGTGGTGAAGAAGCTGTAGTTGGAGGTGTTGAGCTCGGCCGTGCTCACGTTGAGGTACGCCGAGGCGTTGGAGTTGCCCGCCACGTTGGTCACCATGCAGGTGTAGACCCCGGTGTCCGTCAGCAGGACGTGGGAGAAGTTGAGGGTGCCGTCGTTGAGCACGGAGATGCGCGGGTGGCTGGACGCGTGGCTCAGCACCGTCCCGTTGGGCAGCAGCCACCGCACCGACGACATGGAGGGCGTGCGGCACTTGAGCTCGGCCACGCGCCCCTCCGAGATGTTGAGGTCCGTGGGGGCGTCCATGATGAAGGGCGCCGAGCACTGGAAGGAGGTCTGGTCCACCTCCACCAGGAACCTGCCCCGCATGTGCAGCGGGGCGTGGCAGCGCCCGCAGCAGGTGGAGTTGGTGGGGATGTACTCCCGCAGCCACCACGACAGCCAGAGGATGTCGCAGTCGCAGTCCCAGGGGTTGTGGTGCAGGTGGAGCTCCACCAGGTACCGCAGCGGGGCGAAGAGGTCGTGGGGCAGGGAGGACAGGTTGTTGTGGGCCAGGTTGAGCTCCACCAGCGCCGTCAGGTCGTCGAAGGCGTTGCGCTCGATCAGGTTGATCTGCGAGTTCATAATCCAGAGCTTTTTGAGGGATTTGAGCCCGTGGAAGGAGCCCGGTTTGATCTCGGGGAAGTTATTGCCCGACATCTCCAGCTCCTCCAGGCCCACCAAGGGCGTCAGGTTGGGCATGTCCTTAATGTTGCACATCCCCAGGTTGAGGTACTTGAGGTTGTACAGGCCCTCGAAAGCCCCCTCGGAGATGTACTCCAGCTTCTTGAGCTCGCCCAGGTCGAGGCGCATGAGGGAGGGCACGCGGTTGAAGGCGTACGAGGGGATGCTCTCGATGGGGTTGTTGCGCAGCCACAGCTCCCGCAGCTTGGACAGGTACTCGAAGGCCCCGCTGGGGATGACGGTGAGCCAGTTGTCGAAGAGCTCCAGGGTGTTGAGGCTGGCCAGGCCGTTGAAGGCCCCCACCTCGATCTGCCGGATGGCGTTCCTGCCCAGCTGCAGGACCTCCAGGTGGTGCAGGTGGCGGAACGTGTCCGCCTGGATCATCTGGATGTTGTTCTCCATGAGGTTGAGATAGCGGGTGTTGGAGGGGATGCCGGGGGGCACCTCGGCCAGGCCGCGGCGGGTGCAGACCACCTTGCTGAACTGGTTACTGCAGGAGCACACGGAGGGGCAGCTCTGGGGGCCCGGGGAGGCGGCGGCCAGGGCGAGGATCCACGCGTGGAGGGTCAGGGAGGCGGCCAGGACCCCTGGCCAGGTGCGGTGGCGGCGGTGGCGGCGGAGGTGGTGCACAGTTACCTGCCACAAGAGCTTCATGGTGTGGCACGTTCATCATTCACCATCGTCTGGGGATGGCGGCGAGAACAGGAGAACGGGCTCAGGGCCCCCCCCCTCTCCCGGCTCCCACAAGCTGGGGGGCCCGGCTGGCCGGAGGGGGGGGGGGTCGCGGTGCTGGGATTGGGGGGGGGGGGACGACTCCGAGGGGAGAGGGGAGGGGAGGGAGGAAAAATTAAAATTTAGGGGGAAAAAAATCGGCGGTAGGTGCTGGGGGGGTCGGGGGGAGGAGAAGGAACCCCCCCACCCTGCCCCGCTCGCCAGTACCTACCTGGGGAAGGGGGATCGGGGGGTCCGGGGGGGCTCGAGGCGAGCGCGGGGGGCGCGGGACCGAGGGGGGGGGGCCGGCCCCCCAAAAACAAAAAAAAAAAAAAAAAAAAAAAGACAAAATGGCTCCTGGAGGCTGCGGTGCAGGATGGGGGGGGCCGGCCCGGCTAAGCGGGGGCCCGGCAGCCCCCGACCGCGGCCAACCCCGCGGCCTCGCACCTCCGCTCCTGGGGCCGGCCCGGGGGGCTCCGCGGGGCCCGCATGGCCGCCCCCCCCCAGGCCGCGGGGAAAAAGGGGGGGAACCGGGGGGGAAGTGGGAAAAAAGGAAATAATTAAAAAAGAGAAGCGGGGAGAAAAGGAAGAATTGGGAAAAGGGGAGGGAGCGGAGGAGAGAAAAAGTGAAAAAATGAAAAACGGGGAGGGAAATGGGAATGAAAAAAAATTTGGCGAGGAAAGGGGAGTCAAAAGGAGATAAAAATGGAATCGAAATCTAAAATAAAATAAACCGAAATTAAAATAAGAAGGGAAACGGGGATAAAAGTTAAAATAAGGCTAAAATAAAACGAAAAACTAAAAATAAAAATTAGAAATATTAAAATAAATTTAAAAAAAAAACCAAAAAAAACAACAACCAACCCCGGAGGAAACCTAAAAATAAAACAGGAAAATAAAGATTAAAAATAGGCCGAAATAAATAAATAAATCTCGGGGAGCCCCCCCGGGAGAGGGAAAAACGCGGTTCGGGGAGGGGGGGGGGGAGGAGGAAAGGGCGTCGGCGTGGGGGGGGGGAGATGCCGGCGGGGGCACCTCCCGGGAGCGGCGGCGGCTGCGCTGGTGGCGGGGCGGGGGGGTCCCGTCCCGTCCCCTCCCGCGTGTCGTTCCCGCGTCCCCGCGTGGGTGTCGCGTTCAGCGGCGGCGCGGGGCGATGGTGGCGGTGCCAGCGGCGGTGACAGCGGTGGCGGTCGCGGTGCCGGCGGGCATCCTCCGGTGGCGGGGGCCGCGCGGGGCGGTGCGGGCGGTGCGGGCGGTGCGGTGCGGGGCGGTGCGGGCGGTGCGGGCGGTGCGGGCGGTGCGGGAAGCAGCCGCGCAGGCGGCTGGCTCATCCTTTTGTCCTTCAGTGCGAACGCGGATGGATTGCTGCTGCCGCCGCTCCCGCTGCTCCTGCTGACGCATCCCGGCTCCGCACAGACCCCCCCGCGCCCCCCCCGCACCCCCACCCACCCACCCACCCGCCTCGCTCCGGAGGGGCCCCCGCCGGCCCCGGTTCGGCCGGTGCGGCGGCCCCGGAGCGATTTTGTGCGCGGGGAGGGCGATGCGGGATGAGCCGCTTCCTCCTCCTCTTCCTCCTCCCTCCCGCCGCCGCCTCCTCCTCCTCCTCCCCGCAGACCCGCTCGGGGGATGTGGAGAGGGGGGCGCCCTGAACGACCCCTCCCCGGGGCCCGGAGCCGGGGACGGAGGGACGGAAGGAGGGACGGAGGCGGCTCGGGGGGGCTCGGTGGCTTTAAGGTGGTGGGGGGGATGCGGTTCCATCCGTGGCTGGAGGCCCCCACACCCCCCCCGAGCCCCCCTGAGGATCCAACCTCCCGCTGAGCGGGGTCCGTGGACCCCCTTAACCCCCTCCGGGCTCAGGGCTGAGACCCGACCCGAGCTGTGACACTGATGGGGGCACAAACCCCGCTCTGCAGAGGGAGGGGGGTCCTGCTCTGCCATAGGCTGGGGAGGGGGCACAGTGCCGGGGTGATGGGCACCCGTCCCAGGATCCGACCCCCCAGCTCAGCGGGGGTCTGTGGACCCCCCCCGGGCTCAGGGCTGAGACCTGACCCGAGCTGTGACACCGATGGGGGCACAAACCCCGCTCTGCAGTGGGGATGGGGGGATGAGGGGGCTGCAGGTCCAGCTCTGCCATGGGCTGGGGAGGGGGCACCATGCCAGGGGATGGGCACCTGGGTACCACCGGCTTTGGGGGGCCCGGGCTGGGGGTTGCACCCCCCCACTGCCTTGTGTCCCCCCGCCCCAGGTGGGACCCCTGGGATTGTGGGGAGGGGACCCCCTGCAGCTCCCACAGGCAGCCCATTGTCCCTCCCGCTCTTGGTGGCACTTGGAACCACCACCAGAGTGCCACTGGTGGGGGTGGTTGGGGGCCCCTTGGGACACCCTGTGTGGCAGCACCCAGGGACACCCCGGGACCCTCCTGTCCTCCCTCCCTGGGGTCGCAGTCCCCGTGGTGGTGGCACATCCCTGGGGGGGCTGCAGAACTGGCAGCGATGTCCCCTGGGAGCTGCAGGACACGCTGGCCTCGTGTGCCCCGTGCCCCCTGTCCCCCGTGGCCACATCCTGCCCCTGAGCCCATCGATGTCCTGCTCGTCCCCTCACTGGTCACCCTGCCACGGGGGCTGGCACAGTGACACTGTGGTCACCAGAGCGTCACCGGGCAGCGCTCGGGAGGTGCCACAGCCGTGCGTGGGGCTGCACCCTGGGGACCAGCCCGGCACCCCTGGGCACAGCGGGGGACCCGGGGGCTTGTCCTGCACCGTGACCCTGCCACACAGGAACCACGGCCGGTGCGGTGCCATGGTCAGTGTGGTGCCATGGCCAGTGTGGTGCCAGGGCCAGGGTGGTGCCATGGCCAGGGCGGTGCTGTGGCTGGTGTGGTGCCATGGTCGGGGTGGTGCCATGGCCAGGGTGGTGCCGTGGCCAGGTTGGTGCCATGGCCAGGTTGGTGCCATGGTCGGGGTGGTGCCATGGCCAGGTTGGTGCCATGGCCAGGGTGGTGCCATGGCCAGGTTGGTGCCATGGCCAGGGTGGTGCCATGGCCGGGGTGGTGCCCATAGCCCACGCGGTGATGTGGCCAGTGCAGTGCCATGTCCCGTGTGGTCCCATGGCCAGTGCAGTGCTGTGGCTGGCACAGGGGAAGGGCAGCAGGATGCCACAGGCTTTGGGAAGCAGCGGGAACAGTTCTGGCAGGATGGGCGAGCTCAGGGAAGGGACACGCTCCGTGTCCAGCAGCGCCTGTGGAGCCAAACCCAGTTAACCATGGCAAAGGCCACAACGTGGCCCATCTGTCACCTGCTCGGGGGGACACTTTGGGGAGGCACCTCGGGGTCGATGGTCCGAGCTGGGCGCACAGAGGCCGTTGGGGGGGACCCGCCTGCCACTCCCTGGACGGAGCTTGGGGCGCCGGGACGAGGCGGCGGCTGGGCCGGGTGCCCGTGGCTCCGGTGCCCAGGGTGACTCCCGGGATCCCACAGGTGGAGGTGGAGGTGGAGAGCATGGACAAGGCCGGGAATTTCATCGGGTGGCTGCACATCGAGGGCGTGAACCTGTCGGTGGCGCTGGTGGAGCAGGCGCTGTCCCGCGTGCACTTCACGGCCGAGCGCAGCCCCTACTGCAAGGCCCTGCTGGCGGCTCAGGACGCGGCCAAGCAGAGGAAGGAGAAGGTGAGGGGGGAACTGGGACCCCCCCGGGGTGGCACCGTCCCAAAGAGATGGCCCCATCCCAGAAGACGGTCCCACCCAGAGGATGTCCTCTTGTCAAGAGATCTCCCCACCCGAGGGATGTCCCCATCCCAAGAGGCGATGGCCTCGTGCCAAGGGACGCCCCCATGCCGAGTGAGATCCCCGCCACAGTAGATGTCCCCACACCAAGGGGTGGCCCCACCACGATGGATGTCCACAGCCCAAGAGGGGTCCACACCCTGAGGGATGGCCCCACCACAGAAATATCCCCACCCCGAGAGATGATGGGCCCACCCCAGGGAATGTCCCGACCCTAATGGATGGCCCTTCCCCAAGGGATGTCCCTGTGCCAAGAGATGATGGACCCACCCCAAGAGATGTCCCACCCCGAGGGACGTCCCCACCCCAAGGGACGTCCCCACCCCAAGAGATGTCCCCACCCCAAGAGATGTCCCCACCCCACGTGTGCCCCCAGGTGTGGTCCCACTACGAGGAGACCCCGGTGGAGGAGGTGGTGCCGGTGCTGGAGGAGAAGGAGCGCACGGCCAACTACAAACCCGTGTTCGTCACCGAGATCACCGACGACCTCCACTTCTACGTGCAGGACGTGGAGACGGGTACGGGGGCAGGGGGACCCTCCTGGGGACCCTCCTGGGGACCAGCAGCACCCAGGGGTGCTCCCCAGCCTGGCCATGGGGGGGCTTAGTTGAGTGGGATGAGGATTCGTGGGTTTGGTGGGATCACCCATCGCCCCCCAGGGCCATCTTTGGGACCCAGGGTGGAGGTCCCTGTTCAGGACCCAGGATTGGGGTCCAGGTTTGGGGCCTGGGATGGAGGGTCAGGGTCAGGGGTCACCTCTGGAACTGAGAGTGGGCATCAGGTTTGGGGCGAGGTCTAGGTTTGGGATCTACTGTTGGGATCTGGGGTTGGACCTGAGGTTGAGGTCCGTGGTTGGGACTTGAGGTTCAGGATCAGGGGCCACACTGGAGATCTGGGTTGAAGT